GCGTTTGCTGTCACGAGCTGCCAAGACTGGGAATCTCTTATTCATTCATGTCCTCTTTGCATGTGCAGGCGCAGCACCTCTGGCCAAAGGACTCCCGGACGCTTGTGTGTGGAGACTGATCCTACTGCATTCGCCACTTTGACTTTAAACCTTCAAGCTCAAAGCCTAAAGCCTTGAACCGCGAACCCGTAACAACTTGTAAAGTAGTCATGCCAAATCTTACCGGCACATGGCCAATGTGCGCATCTACAGCCCTTATATGGGCCGGCAGCTCTCGACCCTATACTGGTGTATGGGCCGTTGAATGATCTACGCCCGCTAAAATCGTACAGGGCAAGGCCTTCAATTTGGCTTGAAGGAGCATTCACTTGGCTTTGGGTGGGCTCTGTGCCACAAGAAATAAATCAGTCTACCGTGTTGAAGGCCTCGTCATTCAACGCTTCGGGTCTTTGATGGGTTTCTCGCGTATCTTCTGGGTGCCTCATCTTTGGGAGGCTGACTGCAGCCCATGGTTCATGCAAGCATGGCAGGAGAAGAAGTACCACAAGGCCCACTTTCTCTACGCTGGCCTCCCTGAGGCCAGACCGCGTTCAGGATTGTCCCAAAGATCTCAAAGACTATATTGGTAGTTACCAAAATCAGGGTCCTAAATATTACGTGCCGTAATATAAGTCACCCATGTCCAAACGGGGCCCATAATTTTGGGAACTACCCATATATTGTGGTCTGTATAGCGATGGGTCATCACGTTCATGAAAGAGCGGGGTTCGCGGCATGGATTTTGAATTCGATTGCTGTGAAGTCAGGCCCATGTGCTTCACCGCCAAGATCCCCTGAAAGGCATCCAAATTTCTCCGCCGGATTCTCTCTAGGTGGAGAGCAGACAGAGGTAACCGGGCGATGTGCACGGAGCCTCGCGCCCTATATTCGGCCCCTCCCAGAAATCGTGGCATTTCTGAAGCCTTTTGGAGACCCTAATCTAATGCCATTATGGTCATCCTTGTGGTCACAGGTACGGGGTGAGGGTTTACGTTAATTCTTTTCTTCTCAAGCGGAAGACCGAAAGAGCACGGCTGGGACATTGGCGTGTCCCAGAAGTTTATGAGAGTTTAGATCTTCATGTTAATAACATTATTACGTGGCAGTATGCTCAGCATCATTGCTGTTTGTATTCACACGTTTGCTGTAGACGAAGAACGGTGAAAGCGGTATGCAGCACTTATTAGCGCAGAAGGGAGAGGGAGGGAGGGAGAGAGAGAGAGAGCGGGAGCACCGCAGCAGCAGCAGCGGCAGTTGCAGCAGCAGCAGCAGCAGCAGGAGGAGGAGGACCGGTAGTATGAGGAGGAATCGGGCCCCAAAAATGCATAGGGAAGTGATGAACCTAGCACCGTCCCTACTCGTGGCATGTCTGTTCACATACACAGGTCGCCTGGGACTGGTAGAGGTTTTAATTTGAAGTTACAGGGTAGGATGTTGAAACTATGGTCCGCGCTGGACAATCCCAAGATTACCCCAAATGTGAGTTCATCCAGGATACACATGGAAAGGCTTACGTAAACGACAGCTGCTGCACTTTGGGGAGTATCACGATATACCAGTACCGTAGAGCTTTTCTTGTAGAGTCCCAGATACTAGGATTGCTATTGTCCATATACTATTGATGACAGCACGCCTTCCGCCAAGCGATCCCCATGCTGTCCAGGATGTGAACCCAGAGATCTTGGCACCCAGCACTGCGGATGTCAAGGCGCACGACAAGAAAGGGTTTCTCGAACCAGGGTGATTCTCGGGTTCTTCGGCTTCTTGCGCATTATGGCGGGGGTGCAGTTCTACCAAAGGATTTGGTGGGCACATTATCATTTTAGTAACTTTCCACTCCCATTCATGCATGTTTTCTCCGAAGCCCGTGCAAAGCCACAAAGGGCCTTCACAATTCGCATGCCCGTTCCTTGTCATTTGGGGAGTTTTTTTGGGGCTGTGGCAAACCCGAACGCAGGAAATAGGTTTCTTTTTGTCTATAAAGATCACGTTCAGAAAGATCATCCAAGTTGAAGCAAGGTTCCAGCAAGGATTCGGCTGAAACATCCTAGACTTCAGTCTCAACTACCAGTATCCCCCTTAATGAGCCCCTATAATACTCGATTGTATACTCCCCTTTATAACCCCCTGTAAGGAGTTTAGACTATAGCTCACATAGACCTGGCCCTTGGTGTTTGGACCCTGTATGAGACCTTAGGATTCAGGGTTTAGGGTTTGATTTTTGAGCCTTCGAAGGATCAGGTTGGGGGTCGTTCACTGTCACCTAGGTTTCAATTCTTCCGGGAGAATTTCAACGGGGGGAAGCTTACAACAATCAGGGGCCACTTGGGAATGCGTATCAGAATTATCGAAAATTGGGATGAAAACTGGGCATCAGATAGGTGAAGGCTAATGTTGATGAAGGTGTTTGGTAATGTCCCAAGATGAGGGGCCTTGGAGGGGCTTGTAGAAGTCAATCAAACCGTATGACTCGTATGACTGGTGCATAGGTCGCGTTTCAACTTCTGGGAGTCTCATGTGTTACCATCCCAAAAACCAACAAGGATGCTATATAAACCTTAGACCCAGAGCCCTAAACCCAAAGCCGTAAACCCCAAAGGGACAGCAGCATCCATGGGGCCCCTTCTGGATGTTAAAGTAGCTCGGAGGTCAGAGTGGTACCGACTTGGGTGGGCTGCAGCGACTAGGGCATGAATAGGTACAACTAAGCGAAAGTACCACCACAGATATTCCGCTGTACGTTTTCCTGTATATTGTAGCACGAGTTTTTAATGTAGTATCTTATTCCATATTGGGGGTCCAGGCAGCCTATAAAAGGAAACTTCCAGCCTTTACAATGTGTACTCAATGACTGTTGAGCACCGAGAGAGCACAAGTCTAGCTATCAAACAGTGACAACACAAGCACGAGGCAAATATACGGGCAAGAGTAACTTACAGTCCCAAGTATCTGCACAGCCATGAAGTCACAGATCAGTCGTGACATTCGGAAACAGAATATGTCAATGTGGGCAAGCCGCGCTTTGCAGTCGAGCCTCGTAAAGTGCCACGAACACTTTGTCCCTTTCGACTACTTCATCGATCCTCGTTACCACGTTGTTTACATGTCGAGGAATGCTCGTCAGCAAGGACTGGGTTTTTTGGCGGGTAAGTAGAGGGCGTTAGTTATTTCTGAAGGTATGCGAAAGTCCTCCCCTGGTAACGCCGGCAGCCCTGAACCGAGGTAAACCCGAGGGCCCTAAACCCTCAACCTGCTTGCAATCGGGCCCTAGAAGCCCTTTTTTTTTTTTTGATTTTTTGGGAGGAGTAAGGAGTGCATATAGTATAGGATGCCATAATGCAAAGGCGGGAGCCCTCGTTGGCGAAATCGTCCACTGGGGCCGACGCCGGGGCCGCGAGGGGCGGCGGCGTGGCCGACGCGTTGGGCTTGGCGATGTTTGTTCTCATGAGTTTTGTTATGATATCATTACAATTCAGGCTTAGCGTAAATACCCAAAGACATACATACTTGTACACTTTGCGCGCATGCATATATATATATGTGTGTGTGTATGCACATAGAGAGATGCACACGTTTACGTAACATACACTTATACATAGCTGTGTTTGTGCACGTATGTACATGCATACAATGCTCGCACCTGAGAGAATATGTGTTTCTGTCTGGCCGTAGTAGCCTGACAGTTCCTATATATTATAGCAAGAACGCTTATGGTAAATGTGACCTTCTTTACGGCTTAGGGTTTCTAATTCGCACATATCTCTAGACGTACCTGGGCACCCTAACGCCTTCAGAGTTGTTCAACATTGCTGCCATAACAAGGAACCGACCTGAAGTGCCTGCCATCCGTTTTGGTGTGTGTAGTCATACTGGAAGGCGCCCTCATTTGCATGTCCTTGCTTTGTCAGCCTAAGACAGACTAGAAGTCCTGAACCCCAACTGAAGGCGATGCCTACTGAACAGTGCTCAGACAACGCCAAACGCAAGATCCTAAGGCCGAGAAAGGAGCGGCGAGGCAGGTTCCAGACCTTTCAAGCGCGGAGAGTCCAGGTACCCAAATATTAGGCCTCTAGGTCCTTTGTGGATATTATAATCCAAATGTTTTTTAGTTGCTTATGCCCTGCTAGTTGTGCATCAGGACCGTTAGGGGAAGGTGTCTATCTCAAATCCTTTGTCACCCCAGTTTCCATTTCATGTTCTTTGTTCTTTTCCATTTGATTCTCCACTGTAGCGGTAATGTTCCTATGTGCCACTTTCGGGACCTAGGGTGTCCATTTCATGTTCCATGTTCTTTTTAATCTGAGTCTCCATCATTGGGTTAATAGCCAATCCAAACCCAAAACCCTACATCCCATGAGCCTTAAACTCTACACCATTTTAGACCCATAGATAATATTAATAGATAATAATGACAGTACTAAATAAATAGATAGATAAACAAATAGGCCAGCAAATAGATGGATACAATAATGGTATATATTTTGCAAGATTTTGGGCTTAGTCCTGAAGTTCCCACTTCAGCAGATGAGGTACTGGTTAGCGCAATTATGATAACTTCACTTTCTGCGGCCAAGTAGGGAATAATGGATATGTGTCAATGGTTATTTTGGGATTCTATTTCCTGTTTCCCTACTAATTAACCACCACTAAGTTCACGGGTTCCCTACTCCTCCCCACCCCCCTATGCACCCCCCACCCCAGGTTCCCCCTAGGTCAGCTTTAGTTAGCCCGATGTACGCATAAATAACATTGAGTAGCCTTATTTGAGGTGAAACCTTGTGGGGAGTGTATGAAGGATTCTCTTTGTTCGGCATGGTGGAGCAGTCCCTAGAAGTCCACCGTGGGGCGACATGTTGTATCTTGAAAGCCTTGAGCTTTGAGCCTCCAGATGCTGCAGCTGCTTGGAGACAGTCTAGCATACGTCCGAAGTTGCCCGCTGCTCTAGACATTTGCTCCTCGCCATGGCTTTCCATGCTCAGGGCGACATGGAGGCACAGCAGCCCTACATGGATTTCCAGGGCATTGGCGAGAAGCAGATGCGTCTAGGCTTCATCCGGAAGGTCTACGGGATTGTCGCTTGCCAAGTGGCGGCTACAGCCCTCACCGCAGCTTTTTGCGCCGGGCCTCTTCGCTCGACTGTCGTCAGTTTTGTTGTGCACTGGCCCTCAGCCTTCAAGTGGGGATCCCTTCTGGCAACTGGCCTGGCATTGCTCATCTGCCACGCCGGCAAGAACTCGTACCCAGTGAACTTCTTTGGCCTCGCCTTCCTCACTGCGGTCATGTCTCTTGATGTTGGTGTGATGGCAGCCGTGGCGAGTGCCATGGGGATGGGCGCATTGGTAGCCCAGGCAGCTATCATCACCGCTCTCCTTGTAGCGGGCCTAACAATCTACACCTTCCGTTCCAAGCGCGACTTCTCCTTCCTTGGCGCCGCCCTGTGGCCATTGACCTTCGGCCTTTTCGCCTTCGGCTTACTCAGCTGCTTCTTTCCGTCCCTGCACACTGGAATCCTAGGCCTCATCGTCTCCTTCGCAGGCGCCGCCATCTTCTGCGCTTATCTGGTCTATGATACCTGGCGTATTGCCAACGAGCTCCAGGTGGATGACTACGTGGAAGGTGCCATCCAGCTGTACATGGACATCATCAACCTCTTCATGTACATCCTCGACATCCTGATGCAGCTGAACAAGCCTCAGAACAGCGACTAGGTCCGCGATCAGTAGCAGGTGGTGAACGTTATCCGTAGTGCTCAGTGGTTTTGATGGGTTGGGCGCCGCAAACTTGTGCATCTAAATCATCTAGTCCAGCAGGTCGCGGGCCTCTAGTGTTGTAGGTAAAAGATTTGATTCATTGATGGCTGGAGCGCCCAGCCTGAAATCCATCGGCTAATTCGCGCAGACAGATTGTCAAGTTTTGCACACTGGGCAGAAGGATTCAAAGCGGGAAGAGGTATGACCATTCCTCTTCACAGCAGCACTTGGGACTTGGGGTCATATCGCCTTGAGTGGACCACTTTGGATTGTAGAGATCTGCATAATGGTCGTTGCTTCTTCCTGCGACTTTTTGTGGATGCTGCCCTTGTACAGTCTGCACAAGTGATGGCTACACAGCGCACGGTGCAGTACTTTAGTTCTGCCAAGTTTTGCTTACAGAGAGTCATTTGTATGCTCTTGCCTCTTGATGCGCAATCTGCAGCGCGACGGTCCCAATTGGCCTTGCGTCGCCTGCGCAGCAGCGCTGATGTCAGAATGGCGTGGCATTCATGGTAGCTAGTGCAGTGCTGCTGCAGGTACTCTCCGTACCAGACCCATACTCAGCAGAACATGGTGAAAGCAAAAGTAGCGAGTTGCAGATCTTCGGTTGAGCTTGCCGAGACTTGAAATGCTGAGGTAGTCCTGTCTATGTTTCCTCCAGTTGCGTCTCATGGGCAAGATGTTTCAGGGTAGCATATGGGTGCGGGGGCGGCAAAACAATACTGCCACCACTAGTGGCGTTCTGCATTGAGATCTTGCTACAAGCTGAGATCGCAATTACTTCCATGATTTCAAAGCACGTTTGCGCCCCATATTCATTGCTTGCTGCTCCCTAGAGTATTTCCAGGTGGCTAGTCCCCAGTTTTATGAGGCCTTACATAACTCCCATATGCCCGCCTGTCTCGCCACATAGGCTTATATGGAAGGGTACCCACCTGGCAACTACCCACCTAAAAGTTATGTTAATGTTCGGTTGTTCTTGTCATTGCCTTACTTCTGTGCACTGGTGCTTTGGTCCCGGGGCCAGCTGAGGGATCACCCTAATTCGGTGCCTACCTAAGACCTCGCCGCTGTTCTAGTAGTGCTCCCTGAACCCTAGAACCCTGCAGCCTCAAAAGACTGCTTAGCCCTAATCCCTAAACCTCAACCCCTAAACTCTAAACCCCCACACCCCCAATCACATAATCACAAAGCCTCAGTGCTAAATCGCAACTCCAGACCCTAAAGACCTTAATTAAGTGCGAAGCCCCAAGCCGTCTCGGCTGCAACTGCATATGCCAAATTGCACGGATTAAGTCTGGTCACCCCCGCCCCCACCAAGACATTCACAGCTGGGCAGGGAAAATTCCACCTTGCAGCCGTGTAATAGGGTTTGAACTTAAGGTTTAAAGGGTTTAGGGTCGTAACGAGTCGTAACTCCTTAAAGGGGGTCATATAGAGGCTGTTACAGGGGTTATGAAGGGGGATACTAGGAGTTTAGACTACAGACTCTGGCTTATTAGAGCCTTGCAGTTATTTCGGTGGATACAAAAAAAAACAGCTTGACCCTACGCGGCTTAGGGGTTGGGAATGATAAATGGTATTCTGGTACATTAAAAAGTTTCTTCGTATCTACCCTGTAAGCTGTTAGATAATGCCAGTCTCAAGTTCATTTTCCATGTTCCTTTTGATTTTCCAGTGTACGGTCAATATCCCTAGGCCGTTTACAATACCTTATATAATTCCTATATGACCCGATATACCCCGCTGTGTAGTATCAACCATGTCATAGATAATGCTAGGTGTGCAATATGCCTACTTAGTAGTTCCCAATGTTAATGCCACTGCAAGCCCCCACTGGCTAAGTTTCAATGTTTAAGGTTTATAGGGTGCCAAGAACCATCACAGCCACACCCCTCCGACCTCGACGTGCAAATTCAGCAGCATGATTCCGTCAGGGCTCTTACAGAATTCGGCACAAAAAAAAAACAGGATTCAGTCAAGTACGATATTCCACGTCACACATGAAATTTCAGCACTTGGCTTATACGTTAAAACGCCAAAGCCTCCAAGCCCCTGCATTCAACACAGGGCATCGACCGACCTGTGGGGAACCCTGTCAGCCAGGGCGCAACTCTCACTTCTGAGGATGGTGGGTTAGGGGTTATATAACCCAGAGGGTCCATGTACCCAATAATTAGGTACTTGGGTTTTGGGTAATAGTAATTATAGTATAGGTTTTGGGTAAGTATATGATTATTGGGTACTTGGACCCTTAGGGTAAGGGGTTATATAGAGGTTAGATAGGGATAATGGAAAAGTAAATGGAAACTACAATTTAGGGTATAGGGTTTTGGAGTTTTCCCAAAATTAGGGGTACATAGTTTGGGGGGGGTCCCTATAATGAGGACTATTGTATTTTTGATGTCTATATTGGGGTCCCCTTGTTATGGGAAACTACCACTTGGTATTTAGAAACTTATTGGTTCTTATCAGGGAATAAGGGAATAAAATCCCTGTAGAACCGCCATAAAACGCCAGATAATGTATTCCCCTGAGAAGCCCCAGTAGGGAAAGGGGTAGGGATCCTTGGGGAATCTAAAGGGGTAGGAGGACTTGAAAGACCTGGGGACCCCTTGGTTCCCGTTTGTACGGATGACAAACTCCGTAAACTCACATAGATTGAGAGACTAAGATTCAGGTTTTCTAGTGTTTGGGGCAGGCCTCATGTGCGTAGCCACAGGGTTTAGGACTTCGGTTTTTCAAGATTGATGTTTTCAAATTTTGGGTAAGGGTCACGTGGATGCTAGCGATTATGGGTCTCGAGTTGGGCTTGATACTTTGGGTCTAGCTTTACATTAGCTAGGGGTTACATGGGTGATATTCGGGTTATGAAAGGGTTTATAAGCATTAGCCGCACATGGGGTGTGTTGCATCGCCGTGGTGCTTGCCTGACTGTTCTTCGTGGGTTTCGGCCGCTGGTTGAAAACACAGATTAGGACTCAGACTCAGATACAAGCCTGAAGTCGGAACTGCTGGGCAGACATGGCGGTTGTCATGCTGGACCGCAGGGATGTCACAGGCCCCAGAGCAATAGAACCGCCAATTCAGAATTTTTGCCGTGTATGCATTCGTTGTGATCGACCCTGCCATGAAATGCGTAAGTTTGACCTAACACATGAAACGGGCCGGCTTAGCCTTGAAGCCATGC